ACAGATCGATCATGCGCTAGTAATTATCCACCCAGTTCTAAAGTGGTTCTTCATTTTGTACGGTGATGATAACAGGAGTTTACTGAGTCATATGAACCATCATCGCTGCTATCTTAAGTAAGTATCAGACATAGTCCGTTGGACAGAAGCACTTAAGAACCACATGTCAGTAGTAACACATGAATGCGTAAGCTGTAACTTAACTGGACACGCCACAAGTCATGCAATCAAGCCTCCGGACAAGATCACGTTTAGGCCCATCGTGTGACATATCGTTGATTTCTGACCAGCATGGCATTTATGTGATACTACAACTCTGCCTTTAAACCAGATGCATTTTTATACTCAATCATTGAGTCTGACGTGACGTCTTTAAGCCCTTACCAATATCCCGTTTCCATTGCCAGGTTTGATTATTTTACCATTTCGGGGGACATAACCTCAGTCTTTCTGTGTTGTTGGACAATCACGACAAGGAACCCAGCAATTACAATCCTACAGAGGTGGAACCACCGTGCCGTAGGTCTGGCTGTTTCTATTAACTGCCCTTAGTCGCGACAGTGACACACTCATACTCTCGTGAGTACTTGACTTGTGAATTTAATACACAGGAAGTCGCTGGGTAGGACGGTCAGCTGGACTATCACCCACACGACATTACCAAGGCCCTAAAACCGTAGCGATTCAACAGCAGGTGAGCGCAAATAAGTCAGTCGGTTTATATAAACTTGTTACAAGGATGCTGAGCCTACCACTTTTTTTATGTTTCCAAAACACTAAGACAGAAGAGATTCTGGTTCAGTGTTTTAAAGTCCGGCCGTACCCAAATACGTTGACTTCGAAGTGACTTTTTAAAATACGAATACACTCATTACAGGTTTTAGAACCAGTCTTTGGCTGTTTGGTTAATAGTTTTTGCTTTATTTTTTTACTCCTAGTGACATAAGACAAAAATAGGGGGAAAGTCAAAGCGGACTTTGCGAAAGTATCGCTCTCATCCACTGCAATGCAAGAACGTATAGTTTTTCATCAGAACATACATCAAATGGTAGGTAGGAAATGAAGAATAAAGATCTGATGTGATTCAATTGTGTGCCACTTACAGTTTTGTGTTAATTGTTTTCTAACCTTTTAGAAGTGTATAAAACAAGGTTACCCAAAAGATAAAAACCAAGAGAAAAAAGGGCATCTTTAAAAACCCCTCATGAAACATAAGGTTGATAGTAACATAAGAGTGAACGAAGTAATAGACATCTGACATAGAGATTAGGACAGATCTACACGTTTTCAATTCTTTACGAACGGAAAGTTTAGTCATAATTTGATTTTGATTTTCCAAACTTTTGCTGCGCCCCTACGCAACAAAAGTACGATATATGATACATAATCTGTTCTGGGCTTAACATTTGATAGATTACCATGCTTTTTGAGTTTTATACGAGTTAATAGTTAACTGTGGTATTGTCTCAACTTATTGTTCATATTTTACTGTTTTTCACATCAAACTTGGTCTAAGTTTATCCTATCGTTTTATACTACACGTTTTTATCCACTCTATCCGTTTTAGGTGTATTGTTTTTTTAAGACCGTAAAATTTTGCTTGGGTTTGTTGACAACTCATATTTCGTCATGGTCCCTACAATCACATGCAGGCTGCTATAATGCCGTTTTGCTGTCAGCTGTGGTATCCTGGCAAGCCTGTGTTAAAAAGTTTCGAAAACCTTGTGAAAAGAAAGTCTTGAAATGAATAATCAAATAAAGACGTACAGTGAGGCAAAGAAGGAGGTCTTAAACAACATATGTTTTGGATGGAACAAGCATCAACACTAGTGAGGATATGCTGAAAATTAGTCCCGCCATGATACCGACGGTGATAGCTCTCTTGACGAACGACCGTCTCCCACCACAGGCTCCTAAAGCGTAAATATTGTCCTCAAAATTTATTTGGGCGACTGTACTTTCATCAACAGAGCTGAAAAGGATCGAGTATCGCCTTGAAAAAAGTTGAACAGCCAAGTCAATGTGTGTAAAAATCGGCCTGTCAACTAGCCACACAGTTCACCACTAAAATTGCCGAACCAGTTGAAGAAGAGCGTGGGAAACCAAACGTACCTGAAGACCTGGAAAAACGACCATGATTCAAGATGATTCTTTCATAATTATGAACCTAAACGTCAGCTCTGACCGTTGTCACAGTCTGCAGAACGAAAATGACAAGGTGCTCTTGGAAGAGTTGAACAGGGAAACACAGATTTCCCGAAATTGATGCACTGATGAGTAAATGGCCCAAACGAGGAAAGGATTTTAAGCATAAAAATCATCCAAGACTCTTACGTGTAACGTTCATCGACATAATGGATGTTCTGCTAACCGGTTACCTCCTGCGATCAGAAGGGGTTGTGGGAATACTGCCTAATATATAATATTTTGAGAGCAATCTCATCAGGAACATCCGTAAGGAATCTTGCGAAAGAAATATCGTTGTGCAATGTGTGGCATACATAGTGTTTAAATAAGGAATTTCCTAAAGCAATCACCCAGAGTTCAATGCTAAGACCTCTTGTTTTCCTAATTTATAAAAGCAACCTTCCTTAGCGGATAGCACTGACTGGGGAAGATTCTATACTGCAAACAATACCGACACACTAACCAATATATTTTATCACAACATCGAAAGTATCATGAACAAAATCGCACCTTTAGAGTACTGGAGACCTAAGTTTTCTAAAGATCTGTAGAGACATTATACTCGCTTCTACAACTCTAATGATTTCGCCTCTTTAGTAACGATGACAGAAATACTTGTACAGACAGACGCAATAAGTACACAAAAAGCAATCGAACAGGAAAAACGTGCTGTCGAACTTAGTAATAACTCCTCAGCACTTACCACACTCTTTCAAAACAAACTTAAACGTTCTAAGTCGAGAGGAAACATATTTATTAAAGACAAACAAGTATACGAAGATCCTAAACTTGTTACGAAACTATTTAATGAACACTTTTGTTTCTCATTAACTGATGAAAAACCACTTAATGATTCAGAACTTATCACATCATCTGCCTGTGAGATTACTAACGTAGACTTCAATGTACAGAATATCTCTAAGGCTATTAGTACACTGAAACACTCCTACACTGATGGACCAGATGGTATTCCGGTTAGCATGCTAAAACGTGGAGGCGATGATATGTGTTTTATTACTCAAACTATTTGCAATATCACTCTCTACAGCGCATTACCCTGCTGCCTGGAAAACTACACACATCATTCCCAAAATTAAAACAGGACCTGAAGCAAATGTTGAAAATTACCGACCCATAAACATAACTTCAGTGGTGTCTGGAGTTATGGAGAAAGTAGTTAAGGCGGCGTTAGTCCAACATGTATTTACTAAAAATCTCATCTTGGTCTCCCAACATGGATTTCTTAGATCCAGATCTTGTGATACATGCCTAGTGGACTACATGAATGATATAATTCTGAAACAAGACAATGGACTCCTTGTATCAGTCATATTTTTAGACTTTAAGAAAGCTTTTGATAAGGTTCCACACAAACGGCTACTAGCCAAACTACGGTCCTTTGGAATCAACAACTCACCCTAATCATGGTTTGTTTCATTCTTAAAGGGACGTAAACAAATGGTAAAGTACAACGACTGTCTCTCATTACCTAGACCAATAACTAGTGGCGTCATCCAAGGAAGTGTATTGGGCCCACTTTTGTTTCTCATGTATATAAACGATATATGTAACATTATAAAATCCGGGAAACCATACTTATATGCTGATGATCTCAAAATAGTATACAGCTGTGAGCCTGAGGCTCTAAGTGAAAGTGTACCCCTGATTCAAGAAGATCTCAATAACCTAACTTTCTGGAGCGAAAAGTGGCAATTACCATTTAACCTCCACAAATGCGGGATCATGCCCTATGAACCCCAACTTTACTTAAATAAAAGTAAAGTCCAGACACTTAATTCAGTACACGATCTAGGCATTAATTACACAGGAAGCCTAAACTTTAAAGCACACGCCTCCTCTATTATTTTTAATCACTTAATTTTAATCACTTCTGGGTATCCTCCTAAATATCTGGTTCAGCTCAACCCTAACAGAAACAGTAAGGCCACACCCAAAGGCTGGAGACACAATATAGCAGAACGTACCATGGGTACACCTTGTAGGGTAGTCAGATGTTGTAATTTGATGCCTGCTGGACTAGTCCTTGCAACTTTGAAAAATGTCCTTTATGGGAAAAATTGACATATTCTTCTAGATCAAGGCCAGCATTCAGCTATAACTTACCAATTTTTTTCTCTTTAATCGTTATATATACACAGTTTACTACCTCATGGCACTAGTGATACACTGCTACTTGATGTGGAAGCCAGCTAAGCGAAAGCTACTTCTATTCAGCCCAGGACCATTTGAAACACTTCTTAATCAGTAAACTGGGATTTTATTGTGGAGACTCATTCAGCCTTGAGTCGAAAGACGTTATAGGTACTGTAGTTTGACAACACCTCAACCAACGACACCTATAATTGAATCGTGCTCACCCAGTGAAATCAAAAGTCAGAAGCGAGGAGGTTCGAAGATATATTTGATAGGTTATCAATATATCGAGAAGTGACTGTTTAGCGTTCGCAGGGGAAGTTGCGCACGGAGTTCCCACTCATGATCTGGTGCGGATGCATGACCGAGCGCCTTCAGCTGGGTGAGTCTACTGAAACTAATATGGTCATCATCCAATGTCGAACCCTTACAGAGCCTTTGATATTACGGATTTATTTACCGCTACAGAGTATTTCATTTTCTAAGAACATATCATGAATCATACCTCTCCATAAGCAAGAGCTTACTCAGACTACCCAGATGGTTCAGTAATTGTACCTGACAAGGTTGTAATTCGTGTCACCATTGTCCTTGAGATATGTTTCGGACGACCTTGAAACCTGTACATGATTTATTCGTGCATAAAGTTTTCTCAAAGGATTCGTCCTATATTACGGAGTATGTAAGGGTTAAATCTCGATGTAATATGTAAAATTATCTTTGCACTCTTCTACGTTTGTATAATCTCACAAATTCTAGATTTACTTCTCCAAAAATTGATATATTTGATTCACTAAGCTATAATTTAACCTATCTCATCTTTGTAAGGGGCACCACACACTTGATCCCCTGCAATTTTTCGCTTTGTATAGTCAATTAAAAGGATTTCACAAAGGTTTTTGCTACAGTTGATTCTATTGATGCTGATAGTTCAACTACCAGTTTATTCTCTGTAAGGTTTTGAAGTTCGTCTACTTTTAAGGTCCTTACTAACGAATGATTCTACTCACACTGGCATGTTGTAACTAAATGGATATATCATGGTAACACTTATTATTGACATATTCCGTCAATTATGTTGTTTGTGGATTTCCATAGTGATTGACGTTGAAGTGAACAAACTAAGCCTCTTTGCTTTAGTACAAGAAGGCAGATTTGGACCTTATTCTTGTCAAAAATGCCTTTATTTTGCATCGTTAACTCGTGGATCAATAGTGGTCTTTTTATTATATGCCTTTAAGCTTTTGCACTATGGATATTCCCTTTTGTTTGGAGTTAGCTGTGCTTTAGTAGATCCTGGTTTGGTGTCTGACTGAAACGGTAGGCAAGCTAACAACGTTTTAAGAATGGATTATTAAACACAAAAGGTCCGGTTGTAACATTGTTGAGGAATAGTTTTGGTGTTTGGGGAGTATTTTGAAGGTTATATCGGTCTTATCTTCTTTTCAATACACGTCATATCTTAGCCACAGACTTTTGTTCTAAGCCCTTAATAACCTTTTAATGGTCTATCAGTCACAGCTTAAAACCTGATACATTCGTCTGTCCAAGTCACCACTTTATTTGTCTAAATATATAAACAGTGGTACAAGGAGGTACGAATTATGTATGCACCACGCTTCGTCATTCGATTCATGTGAGGACTGGGATACTGACCGGGCTCCCAAACCGAGGCAAGTTACCATACTGCGTTGACACAGCGAAATGAAATTATTAAGACATCTCAGATTAGTGAATCAGTAATAAAATCAGTAGTAGAGAATAGACGTAGAAAGAAGGTATAAAGTGATCTTGGGACCCAAGTTCTAAAGTCAGACAGCGTGAGTGTACACTTTCCATCGGAAACGGTCTTGAGCCTTGTCACTCAAAGTCATTAACCACCGATTGCGATAATCATGCGTTCCCCGACCAAGTAGTCTACACATTAATATTGCTCATCCCAACAATCAGTGACTTCACAAGTATGCTACAATTTGGTTTGGGAGCCTCTTTCCTACTCCTACACAAGAAAATAGTCGTCAATTTAGACAGTAGTTGGGGATACGCTGCCTATATCTCAACCACCTCAGTTGGTGAAGATTTACTATCCCCACCTTTTCGTGGACTAGGAATATTAGTGTTTTGCCCATATCAGACTCATTATGTAATCTTAGTGTTGGAGTCAACTATTGTATGCGCTGTTTTGTCGAAATCAACATAGGGACTTTTAAGTTCACGTTTCGAATTATTTCAAAGTCGCCCTGATGTAAAAGACCTTTCGTTCCCTTCAAACATGATTGGACCACAAAATATTGGTGAGATTACTAAATGTGTATTTATATAGGTAGCATTGTTGTCATATGTAAAACCAATCGCCTTAAGTGCACCAGCCATACAATAACAGTCGATTGAGATTTCGTTTGTTTTGTCATTTACGGCAAGAATTCGCGACAGTATCACTACTGTCTTGGGTTTTGATTAATATCTTTTCGTAGACAGATTTTGTTAAGGCACGATGAACTATTCAGATTGGCACGTAACTTACTTTGTGTCCTGTAAGAGAATCAAATTCTTCATAGCTATGTCTGCGTTTCTACTGTTTTGTTTTCGCAACAGATTTTAAATCATCTGCTTTTGGCAAAGTCAATTACTCACGAGAAAACTCACAACTTCGGACACGGGTATCCACCGATGCGGTGCTTAAACCTGGATTAAAATTGACCTTGAAGTGCGGAGTTTTCACTATCGTATCTACAAATGCAGTTTTTCTGGGATCGCTTATTTTGGGCTTCGAGACTTGGCAAGCTCGTTATTCCAAAGCAAAAAGTGATTACGCCATTAGAAATTTCATTTACAAGGTAATATAATACAATAGAGTAACTTGTTTTACAGGTTCGTGATTGTATAGAGAAGATTTTAGGCAGACCTCTGCAAGCCTTTGATGTTTACTGGGGTAGATTTAATTTTCTGTACTAAAATTTCTAATTATTTTAGCTATTGTAGCGTGCAATATATTGGTCTTTCTTGGTCTTAATAGTAAATTTTCCTCCACTCTTCTACCTTATTTCTGCAGCAGTCCATATGGGCGTAAGTATTTCTTTCGTGCCAAGCAGTCACGTTTTATGTATGTGCTGCTTGTCATTATTTTAAATGCAAACTTTATGCTTATGTTGTGTGCAAAGAATCAAGTGATGTAGTATTGGATTGGATTACCATATTAAAATTCGAAAGTTTTTCCTTAATTTTTAGTTTTGAAAATCTGTAGGGTCAATAAGATTCACTTTCATTTCTGATAACTCGTAAATCAAGAAATGGCAACTTAGCACAAATCTTTCACCTTTCGTTGCTTTTCCCTGCAATCAATGCCACCATCAGTTAGCGTTACTTAATGTGAAAGCTATCATGATAATACATGGAAGATCCGGTTACTTCATAGACTACTGTTCAATATCTGCTGCCAAATTACATGGTCGTAAGTTGGCATAATTCAGGGTAACATTTCCTACTGATATTGGGCGAAGTTGATTGAAGACTCACAGGAAACATAAGTTGCCCCAGGAATACAGATGTTTTCCACTGATGAATACTGAGTAGCACGTGGTCTGTTCCCTGGGCTTCACACTGTTTCAATGAATCATTTGACACTTATTTTTCAAGACTTGCAAATTCGGTCGGTCGCACCGACATCTATTAGTATCCGGTGATCGACTAGTACTTTTATATGGTGGTTATTTTGAAAGATAATTAATTATTGGGTAAGTTGGCAGCTTTCACTTTTCCATTTTGCTAACTTGTCTTGTAAAGGACTTAGATTTTCTCAAGTTTACTGATATATTTTCCCATTAAGTTTGGCCTGGTCAAAACCTGGTCCTTAAAATCTTCAACTAGTTGATTACAAGGACAGTATTAAGTTCTGTTCACATTAGTTTTATAGTTATTGACAATGAGAGATATGAATTTACTTTTTCAGGATCAAATAGACTACATCTTAACCATGCCACAAGTTGTTTCTACATACATTATTTTATACCTCATCGTATTTTTCCTATGTTTTTAAAATCTAAAATGTTTTCCTCCCTAGCCACTCCTGTATTATCACTGGTGCTTAGTTTGTTTTCGCACAAAAGTCTATTCCATTTGGGTATCAATATGTATGTTTTACACAGTTTTGCATCATCAGTTATATCGCTTGTCGGTGTTGAGGATTTTTTCAGTGTTTTTATTGCTGGTGGTGAGTAAGAGCTCATTATTTAATTGATCTATCAAAATATAAACGACTGTAATCATTTTTTATATCCTTTCTACACACTTTTCTTCTCCAACTGTACAGTCATGATTACAAGATAATGCTCCTTGTACCTTTTTTAAATCAAAATATTTATAGTTTATAGATGATGAAAGAGATTCTTTGGGAGTATAATGTAAGAGACTATACGAAACTTAAGAAAGTGTATTTATTTACAAGAACATTCTCTCCAAACATGTATTTTAGCAACAACGTACAGATTTACATGTTAAACTTTAGGCCAGACTTCATGTAATTAGGCTACTATTACTGCCCATGTTTTCAAATAAAGATATAGAAGTCAGAGTTCGAATCTGCTGTTAAGTGGCTTCACAATGAACACCTTATCATAAAAGTGTATGAAGAAGTTGGTTATGAAGCAACAATTTTAGGAACCTGATCTATTTTGAGATTACTGGTTCTAAGGTCGCTTTATTTTCTGGCTTTGAAGCTGCTGACAAATTGGTTTTTCCCTCACTACATTTAGGGGTTTAGTCAAAGTAATTCCAAATACTTCATGAGAGGATATGGGTCATTTAAACATATGATCTGTGCTATTTAGTACTGTAGATCGAGTTTTCCCTTTCGTTCACCAAGTAGTTGATTTATAGTTTAAAAGTTTCATGTGACTAAAAATTGCAATAGATTTAGAGAATTTTCGCCTCGCAATTAGTCAAGATAGTATTTAAGTAGAGGTTTTATGAGAATGAAGCAAGGCAACTAGTAATTGGGTTTCTACCGTGAAGACTTTACTGATTTGTTGAAATACATAAATTACTGAAATATCTGAACTGTTAATTTGTCTAATTAATCGGTCCGTAAATTCAAACTGGAAGACAGAGTTACTAATTATAGTCTTCTAAGTATGTGTGAATATAGATTGTGAAATATAAAAAAGGATTTGTTCTAGAGAAAACTATGTACATAGTCTTTTAGTTTTGTGATATAGGGATATATGGTGATGTGTATAAAATTTCGATCTATATTTTTAATTATTGCTATTTACTGTGATGTTCTCTTTGGTTTTTTGTATGAAGGAATCTTCTCAAGTTATATCAGTTTGATGAATAAATTACTACGGAGATTTGCATTTCCATCATTAGGTGCCAGTGGTGGTATATGCGCTATTATTGGTGCACTTTCTATGCTTCAACCAAATGCTAGGCTATGCGTACCATTTGTTGTTGACATTATACCTCATTCATTTCAAGCGAATAGTGCAGTTTGGATTATTCTTAGCATTGAAATATTTGGGCTTGTATTCTTAAGTCGTCGTAGTGCATTAGATCACGCTGCACATGCTGGTGGTTTGATCTTTGGCATGTACGTTATAAATGGTGTTACTAAAGTCGATTTCTCACTTTATATTAATGTTTGTTAAATTTTATACTCTTTTGTTATTAACTAAAGCAAGTACAAAGATCATGCTAGGTTCAATGTATAGCGTTCGCCAGAGTGATAAGTATACAATTCACTGAATATTGTCGATTTATATTATTTCATGATGTCTCTTGAACCAAAAGAGTCTGAAATCCGGAAGGAATTGATACAATAAAGATCCACATCCTTTTGCTGAGCGGATGAAAAGTGTTCACATTGTATTTGGTTATTCATTTTCTGAAGAAGTGGCTTACGCTGAGTCACGAAACGTCAGAAAATCTAATTTTTCTACCCATTGGAATATCACAATTATATTATTGATTTATTTATAACAATCTACCCAATGCTCAATTTATTCAAAATTATCAAATCCAAACTAGGTAATGATGCAAATAACCACCTTACATTTTTCCGGAAACTAATTGATGATTATCAACTAGTGCCTGTATACTGACCAACTCTTCATTTCGTTTATACATCGCATATGGCAACTATTTTAGTGTAATTAAGATATTTCACACTTCATTGCATATACAATAGTGTTACTGCTGAGTACTTGAACTACGTGGGTAAGACTATGTAAATGATATTAATGAACCAATGGTCAGTCACATATAGAATGTAAACACAAAATTTACCGCCTGGTCGTTCTTATGGAGGTAGATATGACCATCATCCTACACTAATACTTCATATATATTAGTTCTATCATACTTATTATGTGTCGGTAAACTATCTTTTTCTGTTGAATTAGTATTCCACAACAGAAGAGTACATATTTGTCTAAATGATGTTTGTTTTTTGAAAATTTCAATTATATTTTATAATTTTATTCAAAAAACAAAATAGGCTGTATGGTATGAATGGTGTCGAATCAATTTGGAAACGACACCGTGATGTATTATCTTGGTGGAAGAGTATTCATGATCGAAAATAGAAAAAACAGATTACAATGATATCTTTAGGATATTCTCTATAGTTGTAATTCCATAGTAAACAGTCAATAAAAAAGATGATTGTATGGTTTTAAGATCATTACGTGTTGTACAGTGAATATATATATGCATCGTTTGTTTCAGTTATGTACAATATTATTATTATTATTATATTTATATAAAAGCCTTTTACTTATTTGAATTTGTATTTTCATTGATTAGTTAGCTGTTGGGATTATGGTAAAAATTGCAATCCCTAGTCTTACAAATTTCCCCTGTAATACTTCATGACTAGATTGTATAACTTGTTTGATAGACACTGGGCAAAGTGAAACCAGATCACAATATTTATCAACACTTTATGATGGATTTATTTACATAATATCACTTTCAAGAGGTTCATTTGTGAGGGAAAAGACCATAACTAGAAGACCTACCACTCTAAGCTTTTCACTGACGAGTTTTCGAATTTCAGTGAATACATATATTTCCTTGTCGTTAAAAATACACGGTCGGTGATAATTATTTTAGCGTACTCCAACAGTTCCGAAGGAAGTTTCGTTCTTGGACATTAAATTAAAATGAGATACAGTAGCTGAGGTGTTGAAAAGAAGACTATCTAGATCCCTGAGAAAGATGTTTTGTTCAGTAGAGCTCTGAACTGTTTTCTCCATCAAGAAATTCATTCAGGTGTCAAGGAGAAATTACCACTCTGGGTCACATCAGTATACACTTATCAGTTTACTTGCTCTTGTGGAACAGTTTATATTGGCCGTACAAAGAGTGCATTTAGTAGTTGAATATCTGAGCATTACCTTGCATGACCGTCTAAAAGGGAATGCAAGTCGATCAACAGCTCAATCCTTGAACATATGGTCAATTCTGATCACGTGTCACTACAAGAATTATCGCTTACGATCATCTACAAAGTATAAAGAAGTGGCTCGAAAAGGTTTAGATGAAGGTTTTTTCGCTCAGATGAGGCTATAGTGATTGATCATTTTTAATTAGGCTTCCATGTACAAAAGAGTCATGTCCAATCCCTTATTCTCTCATGGTCTTAGGATCTCTTTGAATTTCAACAATCGTGCTGATTATTAGATTTCTTGTTTTTTTTTATTAAAGTAGACGGTTATCTTTCACTCTTATTCCATAAATTATTACTTTCAAAACTATTACATAACCTTAGTTCTCGATAATTTTTATTACTTTGATAAATGATACGGCTTTAATTTATGCACCACTTCCTTTTCATCAACTTTCACTTGAATAAGTTTGACCATCTTTAAAAATTTCATTCTCTGAAATGTCTTCATCCTTTTCAATGATTCATTGGGCTCCTATCGTTGTTTGGAGTTGTGAATAACAAGGTATTATGCAGACATCTAAAATATTAAGTGAACTAACTTACTGGATCTATACTGTGTATTGTTACCGTTTGAATATAATGCTTCCATCGAAATTGTCGATGCACTTTTCTAATTCCAGTCATCAGATGAAGATCAATCAACGATTAGGCTGTGGTTAACTGCTTTTATTTGTATATGATCAATAGTTTATATCTTTGTAAATAAAGATAGTGCATAAAGAAGTATGTATATAAACATGTATATTTATTACAGAAAAATACTTTGAATAATTATATGTACATATATGGTGTGATATATATATATATATATATATATATATATATATATATATATCATTTACAAATCTATCTCGTTATTAAAACTATGAGATTTTACCTTAGATTTCCTCCATATGTTTGGATTACTACTTATCTGTTTGATTTTCCCATTGATAAAACTTAACTTGACTTTCTTACCGTTGTAATTCTTATAAATCGTTTCATTTGGCTGATTCGTCGGTGAAGTAGAAGTATTAGTGGTTACGGTTTGTTGTTCTGTTTGCTTATTCATATTGTCCGATTGACCGTTACGAAGTTTACGATTTTCCTCCAATAGATCAGCACACATATTTGCCAAATGATTTCGACGGGATTGTTCCTAATCGGTAGAAAATTTTCAGTATTATTACAATGTGAACATTGATATTTCTAAGTATAGTGATCATTAAGAATAATGTATATAATTTTTGTATCAGTGAATTGCTCTATGGAGAAACGAAAGCGATTTCAGAGTTACCAAACTTGAGAATATTTTCTGACTTTCAGTGTTTATATATAGATGAAGTCACTCCATGAGGCTGAGTGTCTTCGCAGATTACACGATATTTACCATACCTTCCTACGTTTTCCCATAATTTCCATTCGACTATTCACAGTGTAGTGTGCTTGACTTTTTTTCTTTGTCGTACTTGTTATTTGAAGCAAATAGGTCATAATGAGAGACTAGTATTCCTACATTGATGCTATCTTCTGATTTGACTTAATAAAAGTGAGCATAAAATGACGAATAGCTTTGACCTACAATATGTCGTCTAAGCAGCTATTATACCCGATTATCCAAGGGTTTTGAAAACTTTAATCATTAACTTACTTTTCTACCAATTGAGTGTTCCTTTTCTTTTGATTGTTTCTCTATTAATTCGTGGCATGATATAATTTGTTTAATTATTATCATTATTATTATTATTATATGATTTTATTTATTATTTTTTTGGTTGCCAATCTTACTTTCATTTCTTACTTCTCGAATTGTACTACTTAATAATATTCAGTAGTTAATTTCACTCTTCATTTTAAGTATATGGTGTATTACATTCGTCTGTCGTTGTATGGTGTTACTAAATATTTACGTAAATTTGTTGCTATAACTGTAAATTTTTGCCATTTATAACAGTTATTTACAATTTTGGCGCATTCACAACGGATAAAAGCTTTCTTAAACCATGTACTTTGTGGATTATAGCTTACAACATCAATGATAGATGTATTTTTCATAGTTGAGAGCGTGAGTCAATTGAAGCTAGACCACCATGGAAAACCTGGAAGCACTGGACGGCCGTTTCGTCCTATTATGGGACTCCATGGTGGTCTAGCTTCAATTGACTAACGCTTTCAACTATGAAAATACTAAATCTCCAAAAAAACCTCTTCAGATGTATTTTTATTGAATTTTTGTTTACTAAAAAAAGACTGGAGATAAGTAGTATGAATATTTTAACTGTATTTATAATCTTTCTTGTCATTGATTAGTAAGGTATTTCTGTATCACTGAAAAAAACTTAATTCTTCATTCAGTTCCCGTTATTTAGTGTTCCCTTTCAAATTATCACTGTTGATATGTCCATGTTATTAATAGGTTACAATCTTAATTCATTAGTAACAGTATGTTAATTGCTGTTATCAATCAACTTTTTGTATTGATACTTTGAAAGATATTTGGTGGTTGTTGTTTTTCTTATAGTTGGTACAGAGATTGCATGTCAATGGTTTATCTTGTCTTGCTTATTCTATAAAATAACTGTGTCTAATGTTTTCGATAATCAAGATTCATAACACTAAGTGTTATTGAAATTTGTGCAAATATGATTGTCTTTTATGAATAGGCAGGAATGATCGATGCTGTTAAATAAAAATACTTTATCATGTTTTTAGGGCTACTACTGTTCAATCCTAAACATAATTGATACGAAGATAAGTGAGTAGTTATTGATCGGCTTGTGGCCTTGACTGTCGTCTTTAATTATTCATTTGTTAGCTGACAAATGATTTGTAGAAACAATATTATAGCTATTTTTTTTAATATAAATAGTAGTTTGAATTCCTGGCGATTTCGTCTTTTAAAGTCTTCACTTTAAATGTTGATGTTTTTTTATAGTTTGGACGCTATTATCTCATAAATCCAACCATACTATCATGTCGATTAGGTTGTCACATCAGTGTAAACCTACCGATTGCTATGAATTAACTACATAGAATTATTATTTATCTTTCTTCTTGTGGTAGATATTTATTTACTGCCTGAATACCGAGAACCACTGAGCGGCTGTTTTGTCCTGGCATGAAGTTTCTCACAGGTGCTCACTCACAACCTTCACCAGGGGTCGAACCGAGGGGCTTTATGTCTTACAGTGAAGTCCTAACCGTCAGACCTACTGGAGTAGGATTCAGTAGTGCAATTTAATCTTAAATAAATATACCATACGCGTTAACAATTGTGTGAACTCCACTATTTACGGAACAACTGTTCAGTGCTCTCTGGCTTTGAAGAGTACCCCATCTAAGATCAACCTGTGTTGAAAGAGACGTACAAATTAAACTAGTCTTCATAAAATCTCCATATGAACAGGCGAATATGGTTTCGCGTTAAAAAATGTTTATCATCTCAATTAAGAAATCTTCAGCAGTTATCTATACCTACGCTTCAAAGGTGACGAAATCGCTGGAATAATTAACCATAGACTTAATTCCGCGTTGAAAGTGACCTACCCAGCAGCTAAATTGACGGCGGTGTGGGAAACAAATTGCTCACTCAAACAAACCAAAATCGATAAGTCCTCTTTTCTCAGTACCTCCAACTGCATTTACCAATTTACATGTACGTGCCGAAGCACATACATTGGAAGAACCGAGAGAAGAGTGCATATCCGCATTTCTGAGCATATTCCAAAGAAACTGAGGTTGCAAGGGTCCAGGGCTCTCAACAGTGCGATAGCTCGGCATTTACTGGACACCGGGCACAGCATCGACATTTCTAATGCCTTTAAAATCATTAGTAAACAAAGAAGTACAACTGCTCTCCGGTTTGCTGAGGCGATCGCGATAAAAAAACTCAAACCGGACCTATGTATTCAAAAAGAGACAGTGATAAACTTATTACTACCTTGGTAACCCATTTTTGTTTTGTTTCAGTTTTTTTTTTATTAGTTCAATTTTGGTTAATATTCAGTTGTTTTTTATACCCAATTCTTAAACCACCCTTTCTCTCACACATTTCCGCTCATTTGTCTCTCCTAATTATATGAACTATCCAAATCTTATTCAATTATTACGTAACCCACCCTAATTGTTTTCAACTACGTCTATAAATTATTCAATCATTACGTAATCCCACCCTAATTGTTTTCAACTACCTCTAACATAATCACATTTTGATTTTATCTGTCTCTTAACTCCACTCAACTATTACGCCACCCTTTATCCTAATACCTAATAACCTCTGACCTTTCCTTGACCATAGATATATATATACATATACATTTATCATCGATGACTTTTGTTATTCCAATCCTTTACATTCCCTTATGTCAGTTGTTCCATTCTATTTATTACCCTAATGCTAAAACTCTAATGCATATTTGGTTGTAAGCAGCTGATGAGAAACCACGAAATATAATGAATTCATATTATTCTGCATCAATATTTGTTCTATCTTTATTTAAGTTATCTTTTAATTTGTTTAGGACTAGTGAAACAGCATTAACATATGCATAAAATAATTGTTGAAACCATCATTATCTGGATGTCATGCTGTATGAATGTAGTTTTAAAGTTCAATACTAGAACCTCAAAAGCCAGGATAGACAACTGCGTTTTTTTAAAAAAACCTTATGATAAAAAGTAAAATGTCCTGTAGGTATTTGTCACAATTACATCTAAAAAATCTTTAATGTCTATATTGGAAAATTAGAAGACTGAGGATATAAACGAACATATTTTGTAGTCACTGGGAAAATATTGTTTAGTCATGAAGTTGAACACAATATTTTAGAATACACATAATTTTCATAGTTGAAATCATGAGTCAATTGAAGTTAGATCACCATGTTAAACCTGGGAGCACTGGACGGCCGTTTCGTCCTATTTCGGGACTTCTCAGCGGTGCTCATCCACGATTCCGCCTCGCGAGATATCAACTCACTGAAGACAATTGGTGAATGGTTACTCAACTTCGTGGATTGACTGAAGTTAGACATAAACACCTTCGTATGTCGGCTCAGTGGTCCAATGGTTAAGCGCTCTGGCGCGAGACTGGTAGGTCCTGGGTTCGAACCTCGGGAGATGGGATCGTGAATGCGCACTGCTGAGGAGTCCCACAATAGGATGAGGTGGCCGTCCAGTGCTTCCAGGTTTTCCATGTTGGTCTAGCTTCAATTGACTCATGATCTCAACTATGAAAATACACATAATTAAAATTATGAGTTAACTTACCATTAGGAGTTCTTCATTTATTCTTCTTAAATGATCTCGAAGTTGATTTTCATTTAATTCAGTTAAATCATACAATTGATTATTTGTTAAATGTTGTTCAATTTCTATATTACATTTATCCATTGTCGGGTTATTCAATTCATATATATTTTGAGATTGTGTAAATGTTTCTTTAGTTATTTTTAATCTACTTTTTTGTTTTATTGGTGGTATATAATCTATTGAAGAATTTTTAAATTTCATATTGGTATTCACTGTTAAATGAGTTGGTCTTTAATGAAAAGGAGAAAACAAAGTGGTTTTTGGGTTGTAGATTGATAAAAACCATGGGAAATGTTTATTAATAACAGTTATGTATTGTATTCTAGTTTGGAGTCAGTCTTTTGAAGGTATCTTAAAAAAAGATATTGGGTTAGAAGTGGTCTTTTTGACCTGGGAACAGTTTATCAGAGCTCAAGAAACAAATTCTAGAAGCCAGTAACATAATGTCTTTTTGTAAGTCGTTTTCTATAGGCTAGCTCTGTACTTTAAAGGTCTTACCGCCAATGATCTATGAGGCAAGGTGAGATGTGCTCTCCTTTCGTTTCAGGAAGGCAGTTTCACTGCATATACTGATTGTCACATTGTAGTATCATCAGTCGCATTTGGTCCTAATATCTCTCTAACTTATATTAGTTCTTGACAAAGATGTCTTTAGCTATATATTTTTACTTAAGACTATCGGTCAATCATAGAAAGTGACCATCTGAAATTGATAAATACTATATTTATCAACGAATTAATAGAATGACAGTAAATTATGTAATGATTATATTCCCAGCACTTATTCATTGGTCTCGATGTAGAACTATAACAATACAGTGCTACAATAGACAATGAATCGTTTCGTACATGCTTTTATGTTTCCCACACTGAATCAATGGATATATCAACTAAGTAAACGAATGTAGAATCTGATGTACACATTATAAGATTAGTTTATTCAATTGCTATAACCCATGATAACTCCTAAGCTTGAATCCTAGTGATATTTAAATTTTACGGATTCGAATTCTTTATCTAATTCTGTTTGAACAATTGAATAGAATCACTCAGACTCCCACTCACAAACAGTGTATCTCTAAAATTGATTAAATTTAGATCATATTTGGTTGATCAATTATATTATACTCATATATGTTATAGTCAAATACCTTAGTTTATCAGTTCTCTTATTCATTAGATTGTTATTCTAAGTAGAACTCAATCATAAAATTGTAAAAACTTACCGATTTTGTTCCAATTTACTGGATGTAATATTTTCATGTAATTTCGTATTCCATGTATTTGTTCCAGTTGATTGTAATCGACGACGTATTGTAATAATTCTAGCATCTGTATTATAATGTAAATTAGTTTTTTCAGTTTTAGCACGTCTCCATTTTACTGGTATATGAGTTGTTGTATCGGCATTTGAATTTGATAAATTATTTATTGATAAATCATTAGTTTTATTCGAATCTGGATTTAATGTAGATAATGAAGAATCACTTAAATTATTTTGGTCTGTAGTAGATATTTTAGTGACTTGTATTTTATCATTTTCTGGAGTTGGAGAGTTATTCTGAAATGATTTAAGGTAGTTCATTTTAGGGGGAAAAAAAGAAAAGAAAGATTGTCTGTGAAAATAGATAGAAATTATTTGATTGTTCATTGGATTGAACATTACCCTGTTTTTTTAATGGAAACGATATAATCATTTTATTTATAAATGATACTGTTGTGTAATAAATATGTAGTACTGTGGTGTGGTCTACTTATATATATATAAGTAGTATATGGCGATAGTCAGACATAGAATGTATTTTGGCATAAGACCGATAAGGAAAGAACTGAAATGAAACGCAATTAGCAGGAATATGCACAAACTATGAAATTGAAGAAGATGGATTGATATTTACATAAGCAACAGTAAAGATTGAGACAATTGATTGTTAATTTGCAAATTAACTGTTTGTTGGATGGTTATCAGAATTTAGTGAGATAGTCTGTAATTTGTGCTTAAATGCATTCGATTGTCCCAACCAGTGTTTTGTACACTATAGTACCACTCTAATAATGATAACAAATTCTGTTATGAAATTCATATTACTTTTATAACTGATAAAGATTATTCTTCTCGAGGAATTTACCCCTTAGAACTGATAATTACAACAGTGCCGACTTCTGACTACATTAAAATGCTGTAGACTTCAAGGAGGATAGCATTGTTCTATGGAATTAACACATAGATGAACCTTTTGGCACGAAAGGAGCTATTGAACAAACGTCAATATACCTTTATATACTTATGTCTGTTTATAAATACATTATTTAATCTTTAAGTAGTTCTTATTACTGATCGGATTGACACTAGTTTAAGTCACTCTATAATTCTGTACTATGTATTGATGTCACGTGGGTGAACGAAGTTAGCAACAAACCATGGACCTATGTTTGACGCTATTTGGGACTAATTGAAGAAACATATCTAGAATTGTAGGGGGATTATGGATGCACATTGGAAGATGGTTATTAAATATTTTCAGTTAATTGAGGTTAGAAATATAAACTGTTGGAGGCCAATTCAGTACTCTGAAGTTAAAGTGCCTGCTGTGGGACCTGAAGGTTTCGGTTTGGTCTCAAGTGATTGGGGATGAGATCGGCACTATTGAGAAGTGCAATACTAGTATGAAACAACTGTCTGGTTATTCTTATTCTTCTGTGATTGGTTAGCTAAGACCAGTTAATGATGTAAACCATGAAGCTATAGTTTCAAGTTACTCAAATTAGTTGTAAAAGTTGGTTAGACGTAGAGAGAATGATTGTTGAATTATAACCTTGTAATTTTTGAACTAGATGGTCATAAATCCTGTTAAATATGTTTGTTATAGTTTCTGATTATATTTATATCAATTCTTCTATGATGACAAAATATTTTAAACTATACAATGACGATGTAGTTGATCGTTAACTTGCTATAAATAACAATGATAAAGCGGTGACCTATCTGTTAAAGCAGTTAATATTTATCAAGTAGGTTGTTCCATCTTGAGGGAATGCAAGTAGTGTTATATGATTTCCATCCGAACTATGTGACAAAAAACGAGTACTTTAACCTACATTTGATGAATGAATTACTGTTTTGTCTAAAATAGTCCTGAGATAAGTATTGTAAACAATGATAAGTTTGGTTAGTTTCCTTCGGTTTGATAGTTATAGTTTAAAACAAGCTAGTAAGTTTGTAAAATATATCCCAACACAAATAAATGATCTGATTCTAATAGAAACAAATATGTATAAAAGCATGCGGTGAAACCTTACACACGAAAGTAAACTCAAATATCAAATAATCATCTTTATAACTGGTTATGTTGTTAAATATCGAATTTTCATTTGTTTTCGATATATAACTTCTGTTCTCCTACTAATTTGAAAGTGAACTTATTCAAAATAAAAGGAATATATTAAAGCTTCCATTTTAAATGTTCGTACTACTATCTAGAAAGAGATTGTAGTGGCTTAGCTTCGTTAATCAATCACCTTGATAACCGTTATTATATAAATCCCAATGGTGTTTGAATTTAGAAGCCAATAAAAAACAGCGACTACCATTTATTAGCGGATAGCACAGATAACAAAGTTACAAGTACATCGAGCTAGTTTGAAGCAGAGGCGAATATGTGTGTGCGAGCAAATACAGAGGCGCATTTACAGTCAAGTCGAATTAGGCGCAGCTAGGCAAGGTGAATGTGATTAAGAGGATTCGAGTACATATAAACATGGGGAAGAGAATAATTCATCGAGCGATATTTAAGCTATTAACATTTAAGCTAGAGAGAGATATGTGAGTAGGCCTCCACATGTTATCAAGCGTACACGTTCATAGAGATATGGTAGTCATCATAATATTATAAAGAAATGGACGAATGGATACTGTTCGAGTAAAATTGTCTTAAATAAGTGAAGTAAAAGGGCTCGACAAAAATTAACCGTAATCGAAATTAGTTGTAGGATAGTTGCTATAAGATGGCTATTACTAAAGAATAGAATTCTTTTTAGTAAATGTTCGTATGCTTTTTCTGTTGTTACTCAACTCATTTAGGATATTTTATACTAACAGAATAGTAGAATTTATAGCTAATAGGTAAATCAGTCACTGGAAAACGAACACTGTTTTGTTGTCCGATTCTTGATATGAATCATATTTTAACCATCCTGTACCACTAAGTGTAAGTAGCTTGGATCTTTAAGGCAGTAAACGTTTGTTTAAGTTTGTATATAAGTCTTGTTGGTGAGTATTCACAACTTCATGAAATTGCCACTGTTTTTTTTGACTATATACTTTATAAGATGATAGCCTATCAAATATAAAATATCGATAAACCAATCTAAAGCATTGCAGTTGTTTAGTCATTAGTGACACGACTATTGTTTATTCACCTTAGAATGATGCTAATTTGTAAGGGCGGTTTAAGTAAATGTGAATTTAAGTTAATTCAAATAATCTGTGATAAATAATGATGAAAAGATAGGATATTATCACTTCCTTTGAGGTTATGTTGAAAATAATGGCTAGCATATCATTTGAATAGTAACCATCATCTATCTATCTATCTAGGTACTAATAAAACATCTACTAAAAGAAGTGATAAGGAAAAATTACCTGATCATTCACGCTCTTTGCATATGTTCCAGATTGATTAGAGATTTCACTATTAGTTTCATTTTTCTCTGAAGACAAAATAGGAGCAAAAAAGTTGTTAGGGGCACGTTTATTTTGTCTTTGAATTAAATTGATGATTATTACTTAGATTCTCCGAAATTTTCTGCATATAGGGACAATATTTGAATAATTAGATCAGTGTAAAGCACAATCTAATGTAATATCCTATGCATAGACAATAATTAAGTTTAGCATTTGATAAATAGTTATTGACCATCAGACTGAGTTAGCTATTACGTTTTATAGTTGGAAATGGAGAACATCTCACAGATAGTGAATGTTTATTAAGATTCTATCACAAACTCGTTTATATTTCTAGTTCTACATTGAATGAAATGAGCAATAAATGAAACCTCCTACTTGAGAGATTAATGTTTCATTTAACAATCTTTTTGAAGATCAACACTAAATTTTTTTTATATGTAAGGCTTTGTTGGTATACAAAAATATGCTTGATCAGTCTCTGTTAGTAAACAGATATCCTGAGCTAATAATACTTTTAGTTACATGATTTTAACAAAGTTAGATCTTTACATCATACCATTTGAATACATTTGTGGAAATCTAGATGTGAGGGCATTACGAAGTTTGAGTTTTGTTGTGAACACCAATACTGGTATGGAGATATGCCCAACTAATGAGGCCCAAATAACACGAAACTTTTGTCCTAGATTTCACTGCTAGCTACAATCCCACCTCATTCAATACCTTTCTTCGTTTCTCAAGGTCAAAGAATTACTGGTTAACCTTGATTTTTTAGCCCTCCTCTACAAAGTATTTTCTAGTTAGTTACTTATATAGCTGGAGATCTTTTCCCTTCGACTGATAATTTCAAACTTATGTTAAATATATGTTTGCGTACTTTAACTGTTGTTAAGGATATTTAAAATGAAACCATTCTACCCGATTAGTTTCTGTCTAATGCACTGTAATCAAGAATGATTATATCAGTAGGAATTATACTGAGACTAACTGTAAGCCAGTTATTTTTGTCTGTAAATCAATTTTATTATCGCAACTGATAATTATTAGGTACATAAAGTTGAATTTTGTAAACTATTTCTGAAATTAAGAATTAGTGTAATTTTTCTGGCAAGACTATAATTTATGGACGAAACAATCAGATTTAAGATATCAGGTATCAGATTTTGACGCAAGATTCATTCACTCATTTGGCTAAATAACATTTCGGCATTTAAACTGATGTTAGTTCGTGATGAAAACATTAAACATAATTTCTAACCCTAACGTTTAATTAAAAATCCTAATCCTAGTTCCTCGTACTAATTCATAATCCTCAGTTAACCCTAGTAAGTAGATGACATGTTCAAGGTTATTTTAGCGTTGCTCAAAGGTCGTCCATAAATTATAGTCTCACCATTTTTCTTTTAAAAATAATATTTAAATTGCAAATGACCATTAGCTGTTTATTAGTAGTATATACATATATGTAAAAAATTACTACCTTGATGATTACTATTGGATATTCTTATTACTGTTTCTTTATTCAAACATAATTCTTCGTTTTTTGGTGGACTAACAGTTGATGAATCCATCTGTGATTTGATTAAATCAAAATAGAAATTGAATAATTTTAACAGTGAATTAGAAATGAATCCATAAAAAAATTATGTTCTATCATCTATTTCTTAGGGTAGATGAAGTTTCTCAGTGAATTTTTTTAGTTTAGGAATAGATATTCCAATGACAATTAAAAGTTAATTTTTTTGTCAAGTTGTTATGCCCCGATAACAATAGAGAATTGTAACTTTGGGATCCATTTATGGACCAATATTGTGCATATAATTTTTATCGTATATTCGCTAAATAATTAAACTATTCATATTCATGTTCCTTTCATTGTGAGCATTATTTTGACCCTTAGATTATTATTGTACGATTTACCATTCCCGAGTTATACCCAGTCTATTAATTACTGCTCTCCCTATTCACAGCCACATTTGGCTAAATCTTGTATAAATGTTATTTTCTATTTTATTGGTACGATGTGGTCAGTCTGTATGGTATATAAACTCCGTATGTTTGAAATACAATGATTTATATCACAGAGGCTGTTATTGGTGTTCTGGACATAACTGGCTGGATTAGGCAGAAGCAGGATCGATAAGCACTTTAGACTGCGAATACGGTTTTCGTGTGTCACTGTTGCGATTGATAATTCGTTGCTCCCTGATTGGCAGTCTTTTGACACCATACATTAACTGGTCATCCACTCGGCCAAGATATAACACAAGTCCAAACTATATCTTATTGTTTTTAATTATAATTAATGGGTTTGTCAAGAATAATCAAGTAGTCAAATAAAATAATGTATAAGTGAAGTATTTAGGATGATGGAGAAGATTTGTAACTCAGCTGCATAGTTTGATTGTGTAGCATTAATTGTCTTTCTAAACAACATCAGCAGAACTCAGTCAGTTAGCAATCAAAAACTAGTCACGGTTCTTTATTTAGATCGGATCTCTATCCTTTCCTAAATTCTGATATGACCATCATTCCTAAGAACGTAAACTGCGAATTCACTAGTTCCTTCTAAACTCTCTCTTATGTTCAATCTTCCTTTACGTCCACCATTATTTCTTACAATAATCCATTTATAATGTTATTATCCTGTAACATTACTGACATGAATTGTGCGAATTTGGACAGAACCATACTTATCCAAAGTCTCACGTCAATAATGGCTGAATGGTTGGCATACCTTTCATTTATTATCAACAATGAAATAAATAGTAATACAGCAAAATAACTTTTTTCTTTCCCAGCTTCAGAATCAAGATATCACATTGTGATATAGAAAGAGGAATTCTCCCAAACATAGAGTACCTTCGAAAATCAAGCATAAATAAATTCATGAAAGATATTTTCCAAAATCTCTTTGTATAATAATGTGTTGATCACCAAGAAAGTACCATGTAATTAATTTATTGGCAATGATGAAAACTAGATTCGTTTGGGGAGACATGTCTGAAAAAACATATTTTGTAAATAGTTTTTGATGTCATCTGTGTTTATTCTGTCAATTTTTCACTGCATGTACATTTATCATTAAATGATTGTACGCGTTGTTTAAGTGTATGACCTTGAACACTTCCTTCCGTTTTTGAATCCCACATAACACGACATTGTTAACTGCTCATAAATAAATACACTCCTACACATACACTTCTTGTTCTATCATGCTTATGGATATGATCACCGAATTATTAATTAACTATCATCTATATTTATAGACCGTTGTAACATTCCCATTGTATTCTACGTTTGGTTAACTTACTGGAGCCAATCTTATTGGGATTATTAATTATCTATAATTGTGAATTCTGGTACCAAACTCAATAGAACACGCACTAGCCAGCTGTTTTAAGTAACCTCCCTGAATTTTATTTGTGTTAATAACTTATAAGTTGTTTATTTTTACATTAACTTTTGGACGTAATAATTTTATTGCTATTTTTGGATTAATATACATTTTGGTCCTCCACAATCATCTGATGAGCCTCGTGTTCATTCTGATCGTTGTATTGCTTTTTTTTCTTTACACGAAACATTGGCTTATTTTCCATGTAATGTATTTCCCAAATAAGCTAATCGATATGGATTTTCCTCCAGTAACCACTCTTAATTCATCATCAAACCCTGCTGACAACATTTTAAGTTCAGTCAATGCTATCTGTGAATTTAGACTCTCAACATATGAAGCAAACAACTCAAGAGTCTGGTTTATAAATATAGATGATAGTTAATTAATAATTCGGTGATCATATCCATAAGCATGATAGAACAAGAAGTGTATGTGTAGGAGTGTATTTATTTATGAGCAGTTAACAATGTCGTGTTATGTGGGATTCAAAAACGGAAGGAAGTGTTCAAGGTCATACACTTAAACAACGCGTACAATCATTTAATGATAAATGTACATGCAGTGAAAAATTGATAGAATAAACACAGATGACATCAAAAACTATTTACAAAATATGTTTTTTCAGACATGTCTCCCCAAACGAATCTAGTTTTCATCATTGCCAATAAATTAATTACATGGTACTTTCTTGGTGATCAACACATTATTATACAAAGAGATTTTGGAAAATATCTTTCATGAATTTATTTATGCTTGATTTTCGAAGGTACTCTATGTTTGGGAGAATTCCTCTTTCTATATCACAATGTGATATCTTGATTCTGAAGCTGGGAAAGAAAAAAGTTATTTTGCTGTATTACTATTTATTTCATTGTTGATAATAAATGAAAGGTATGCCAACCATTCAGCCATTATTGACGTGAGACTTTGGATAAGTATGGTTCTGTCCAAATTCGCACAATTCATGTCAGTAATGTTACAGGATAATAACATTATAAATGGATTATTGTAAGAAATAATGGTGGACGTAAAGGAAGATTGAACATAAGAGAGAGTTTAGAAGGAACTAGTGAATTCGCAGTTTACGTTCTTAGGAATGATGGTCATATCAGAATTTAGGAAAGGATAGAGATCCGATCTAAATAAAGAATCATGACTAGTTTTCGAGCATGTCACTCAAGGTTTCCAACCGTTTGTCACGAGTATTGTTTGATTTACAACCAGGATGTCTGCATATCCTAAAACTCGATGGCTTTATGAGCTGATGTCGTTTTAATTTACTGCCACGTGACAGTTTAGAAACAGGTCACTGCTTGTTTTCAATTTCTTCTACGTTGTTTACTTTCATAAAATTTAATTCCATACTTAGACATGACATCATTATGGATAGTGCCATCGAAGTTAATCATTTGCACACTAGGCCGAGGGTCCTGGGTTTGAGTCCCGCTTGCAGGATTGTAGATTATCACTAGCGAGAAGTTCTATACTAGGACGAAACGCCCTCCCATTGCTTCTACATTTTCAATGATGGTCTAGCTTAGGTCGTCTTGTGATTTTTATTTTAAAAGTACTACAATCTACACAAATCCATATCATTTAAGTTTTATTAAAAAAACAATTCCCGGTTTGCATAAAAATAAAAACATACATGATTTGATTGCTTCATGAAAATTAGCTCAGGTTTACGTGTTCTTCTTCTTGATTGAACACAATTAGCTGTTTCAATTAAGTTTATTGTTGGTAAACCATTTGAAGTGAAATCAATAGAAGTTTCATTGTCATTTTTTGTTATTAATTTGTTATCAGCCTTTTGTTGACATTGTGTACTTGTGTACAATTCATTTGAGAGGATTTGTTGAACATCTAATGAATGATACTTTCGACTGATGTAAAAATGAAAAGTTTGTAAAAGTCAATTAATCGATATTCGCTTAAAAACAAATACTATTATTAAAAAAATCAGTATAAATAAAGCAATGGACGGCCATTTCGTCCTATTATGGGACTTCGCAGCAGAGAGCATTCACGATCCCGCCTCGCGAGATTCGAACCCAGTGCTTCCAGGTTTTCCATGGTAATCTAGCTTCAATCGACTAATGATTTCAGCTATGAAAATACTGAAATCTCCACAAAACCGCTTCTGATCTATAAATAAAGCGTTTAAAATACTGCTGTTCTTTCTAGAATTAAAAGTAGAGAGCTGGCTTGGTGACTAAATAATTTGACAATCAGTCACTGAGTTCATTTTTAACCCTTGCTTCATCTACTGAAGTTTCTGAGAGTGGGTAACATCATACCTCATACGTAAGTTGTGATCTGAAGTCAAGCACATTAATTCATATCTATTGATGAGTTAATAGTGATAATAATAAAATTAACGAAAATACAATCACTTTGTTAATAGGACAGTGGATTTATTTTCTATGAAAATTTTAACTTGCATTTTTCTACAACGTTCTTCACTTCACGCGCAGTGGAGAAGGTATATCAGCCAACTCGATATAATCAAGCGTTAATCGATATTCATCGTCACACAAAAATAAACTACAGACATGTGATGAGTACGATAAGTTATACACACACATATGTCCATATAAAAGCAGTCATGATAAAATAATTAACAATGTCAAAGCGTGACTCAAGAAAAATGGATGAATTGGCCTGTTCAAAAGCTAGAATAACTTATGTGGGCTTAACATAATAACCGACGCTACAGATTCTAGGTTAATATTCTGTGTTAACTAATGAAAACTCACGACTGAAGTGCCTTACTGGATAATACGCTTACTAAATTAAGTTTGACGGAAAAAGTTTAACCATGATCCTTATCTTATAAGATGTTATTCATAACAGAACGAAATTTAATGTTAATTTAAACAATGAACTGAATCAATTTTGAGAGTGCAGTCAATGGATAGTGAATCACAAAGATCTCAATGAAAAGATGTTAAAAAACAAGACAACCAACAATGAAAGACAACTTCCTCCGCAAAATGAAATATTTGACGCAGATTGGAGTCTTATAGGGAGCATCATTTTCTTATAGATTGTAGATAACAACTAACACAAAACCTAGGTCTGGGGTTTCTTGTTGACTATCTTCAACCACCCGACATATTTCATGTCAGTTTATACACATAAAAGTTAATTAACTGATAATTTGACCAGAAAAAATATCTTAAAGGTTTACTCAGTGTTAAATATATCGGAAGATACTAGCTAGTGTTAATTTTCACCCGTCTATTATCACATTTTTAATATGAATAAATTAGTAATTTTACAACTTCATTATGTAGAGTTGTTAATTTAATTAGAAAATACTAGTCATGCGTTTAGACCTTCCATATGAGGCTGAATGTTCGGGATGTTTTTGGTCAAAGATTGGATCTTTGAAGATAAATGAAGTCTTACATACAACGCAAGTTATTATTTCCAGAAATCATTGGACTTTTCAAATTGTACAAGAATTTCAAACCTTTACGGGCAATATTCACTGTAATTTAATGTTATGGCTCAAATCATGGATTTATATTGATTAGTCAACTACTGAAAAATAGGGGGCTTGAACAGCTCTTCCACCTTAGTGTAGCGCTCATTCACATTCTGACTAAGGATCAAACCCAGTTGCTTCGGGTCATGTGACAATATTTAATATTTAGACCCCTACTCCAGTATTTGACGGTTTGCATCCATAACTCTAATCATTTCGCGATCTTACTGATCTTCCAATATCATTGATAAGCAACTATTTCACAGTTGACACAGCTGAACTCCACAATCCTCAACTGGTCGTGGATGCTCATTGCTATGGAGTCCAGAACAAGAATAAAATAGTTATCGATTCCTTCCGAGGTTTTAACGGTTATCTAAATAAGGTCAGTCTGTGATGTAAAATTTGAAATTCAACCATTTCCATGATACCTTCAGAGTATTGTGTTGGAAGGCTAATTAATATATATCTCTTAGACTTCCTAAAGTACTCCGCTCAATGAAGTCAAATGATGATGTAGAGTGATATAGTTTTTGTAAAAATTATAAGTCGTCACGTTTTTGGAACCCATTTATTTGAGAAGAATCTGATGATGAAATCCTTTTATTTCATGTACTAAGGTTAATTGCATAATTTCAGAAATTTCAATAGACTGTTGGTGGGACATATCTTTTCATAGAAAGTGTTTTGTTGGTTAAATTAGTCGACTTTAAAACATATTTAAAAAAAATATTTAATGATAGGAGGAAGTAGTTTTTAATTAAGTCTACAGAACTGTTGTTCTGGTTGTTTCGACCTAGAACACTGAGATACATTTAAGGAACTAAGGCACTCATATATGTTTTTTTAGGTGAGGGTTTTTTTTACACAGAGTAAAATATGACTATTTAGTCGCAAATTTTACTTGAAGTTTGATAGTGGCTAACAATAAAACTCAGGACGTGTGTTTTTTCCTATTTGCTACGTGTTGTCAAGATATACTTTCATCAAAGTGTTGGTGTTCATTTGGGGATGCATGAACGTCAAGGTCACGAGGTAAAACGAGGAAAAACGTGCTCCTTATTGATTTTATTATTATCCATTATCTAAATCGGAAATCAGCAAAGAACTACTCACCACCTTTTGGTGGCGGGGGTCTTGTTTACGAAATTGAGAGCGAATGTCTGGTGCTTTAACCGGGTTGGTGGACACGGCGACTCCACCTAGGAGAGTTGGAAAACTTTGATTCCAAACAATCGGTGCACATGGGCTCAAGTATCCTGAGGAAACAAATGGCGTATGAACGGATTGTTGGTCACCAGCTACCATGGAACTGCATCTATTTACGATGTTCCACTGGCTTGTGGATCAGACCTTTAGGTCAAAGGCTCCGGGTGTAGCCCTCTAAGAAAACCACCTGCTTCGGTCTGAGCATCCGGGCAGTATCATAGCCTTCACACAATTAAATGAAATGACAATTTTTTGTATGGCGCATATATATCTGGTGCCCCCTTGTACCAATAAATAAATAAATAAATAAATTTGGAGATGATTCACTATAAAAGTGGTAGTATATAAGCTACTTTTTATCTTAATCACTATTCGTAATTAAATATATAAAAAAAGGAAACAGAAATTTTATATGTAATATGACATTTCAGTGAATTATGAATATTTTTCCTATTTGTCATCTGATTTATAAATATATAAGTTAGTTTCTTTAAGAGCATGATATTTAGAGTACATTAGACTGTAACATCCAACATAATTCTAATATATGTCTCCAGTTGATATTTGAGAGTTATTACGGGTTATAATGTAAAGATATGATAGAAAAGTGATAAGTCTTGTAAACTTAACACTATGCTCGGATCCTAAGATAATCTCGTAACCCTCAAGCTAAATCTATACAGTAACTTGAACACGAGAAAAAAAGTGCAAAATATGTGGGAAGCACTTGACTCCAAAGGTTCATTTTTTGAACAGAAAATATAGGGTTTTTATAGTATTTTGAAAGTCCTTGGGTTTTCTTGAAAATTATGGAATGCTGCTAAACATAGTACCAGTGTATTAATCAGCCAATCCACTTAGCTACTGATTCCTGATAGCTACCTGTTTGTGATATGGGGTGAAGTTATATTCGCTTGATGCTGTTTACTTGTATCTCCTCATTGTTATTTAGCACTGCAATTGATCATTCTCTTGTTGTCATATGTGTATCCTATGCGGACTGCCTCGATATTGCCTGAAGTCACAAACTTTATAAGCAAAGAGACTGATCAATTACAGTCTAATATAACAATGGGAAGATACAAGTGAACAGCAAATGAATAAAAGTATTACTGTTTACCTGGTTCATTATATCCCTAGTAACTAAAATTTATCAAAATAATAAATATTCAATAAAACATTTTTTTTAATAATTTTTGTATTTCTTTACTTACTTTAATTGTTTCATTCCATCCGAATTTAAAAACTCTTGTGAATTTCTTTTTATTTCTATTTTTCTATTTGAATATACATTTGATACATTAATAATATATGGTAAACTAATTATTGGTAATAATGAATTATCTTTATTTGTTTCATTCAATCTATCATCATGATGTTGATGATGATGATGATTGACAGGATAGAGTGTTACAGGATATGAAAAACGTATCTCTTTTCGATTATTATTATTATTATTATTATTATTATTATTATTATTATTATGTTTAACATATTGATTATGACGGCATCTTATACGTGCACGATTGAATATTTCAATTTCTGGTAAATTACATAAAATTATTTTAATTATATTTTTATTAAATTTTAATTGATTAATTAATGTTAATAAATGTGTTGTAAATTGTATATCATATATTATAGGAAAATAAATATTATAAAATGGTGATATAATATTTAATTTTTGTAAACACCATATTGATTTTTTACTTTGTATTATATGTATTAATTCTGGTAAATGATATGTATTGATTTGTAATAAAATTTGTTTATTGATTTTTTGTTGATTATTGAATTGGAAATCAATAATATTTTGTAATTTTTTTGAAAAATTGATTATATATGGAAATGGATTTAAACTAAATGATGATAAATTTAAATTAGATGATAATGATAATGAAGATGGTGATGATAAAGATAATGAATGAAATGAATTTATATTATTATAATTATCAATAGGACTTAAACAAGATAAACTTAAACCTATATCTGATATGGAATAATAATTATCATTCATTGTTGAATATTTATGATTATGATGAAGATGATGAATGGTTTCTTTGGATTCTTTTAATTGGTCATTATCATTATCATTGATATGATAATCATTATGATGAATTGAATTGTTTTTAATTTTCATTATAATTTGACTACACTGAAAATAAAATAAAAAAATGGAAAGATTAAATCACAATTAATTGACAAATGGGTGGTGTTCAATGTCATGCATCTTTCTTAGTACTGATCAAATGCTATCGGTCAAATTGCAATGTTGCCACTAGTCTAGGTAGCTCGACATTGCGTACACTATGTTGAGATAAGATGGTGGTTGAAAGTGGTTAAAGAAATTATTTGATTTAGAAGTTTATACTTATATCGACATAAGTAGTATATATCGTGAGTCAGGAGTAGAATATCTGTCAACGGAATATTAAGAAGAATCAGAAGGAAAGAACAGAAACAAAAAGTGATTGGTATGGAAATAAAGAAACAATGAAGTTTGAGATGACTGATTGACATTTGCAAAGGAACAGTCAAGTTTGATTGATACTTTGCAAACTAAGTATTTACTGGTAAGCAGAGATCGATAATGGCTAGCAGTGGAATCCAGGACACGCATTTCGTCCGATTTGAGACTCGTCAGCTGAATGTACCTGCATCTCAGAGTTGATGTTCACTCTGGGACTCCAACCTAGTATCCTCGCTTCAAACTCCATCGTGTTATCCACTCAGGCACTGAGTCCTGATTGCCACTTGCTTGTGCAATGGGGTGAAGTTTAAATTCTTTTAGTATTGTTCGTTTGAATCTTCCCATCGATGTATACTGGGTTTGAGATGCAGGTACGTCCAGTTGACGAGTCCCAAATAGGACAAAATGCGCGTCCTGGATTCCACTGATAGCCACTATCCATTTCTGCTTACCATAATTACTTAACATTCATCCTTTTCATATCGGCTTATATTTCCCGGCGTAATGTGTTCTTTGGCCTTCCTATTTTCCGCTTCCCTTCACCATTCCAAGTTAGGGATTGAGTCGTGATGCACATTGGTGATTTCCTTAATGTATGTTAGATCCACTTCCAACGTCTTTTCTTTATTTCCTCTTCAGCTGGAAGCTGGTTTGTCCTCTCCCATAAAACGCTGTTGCTGATAGTATCCGGCCAATCGATGTTGAGTATTTTGCGTGGACAACTGTTTATAAATACTTGTACCTTCCTGATGATGGCCGTAGTAGTTCTCCACGTTTTAGCTCCATACAGTAGGACTGTCTTGACGTTCGTATTGAAGATTCTGACCTTGAAATTAGTTGAGAGTTGTTTTGGGTTCCATATGTTCTTCAATTGTAGAAATGCTGCCCTTGCTTTGCCAATCGTCGCCTTTACATCTGCATCCGACCCTCCTTGTTTATCAACGATGCTTCCCAGGTACTTGAATGTTTCCACCTCTTCCAGAGTTTCGCCATCAAGTGTGATTGGGTCGGTGTTCTCCGTGTTGCATTTGAGAATCTTGCTTTTTCCTTTGTGAATGTGGAGGCCTATCGATGCGGAGGCTGCTGCTACATTTGCTGTCTTCATCTGCATTTGTTCGTGTGTATGAGAGAGGAGGACTCAGTCATCTGCGAAGTCCAAATCATCTAATTGATTCTGAGCTGTCCATTGTATTCCGTATTTCTTTTCAGATGTCGAATTCTTCATAATCCAGTCAATCACTAGAAGGAAGAGGAATGGGGAGAGTAGACAGCCTTGTCTGACTCCGGTCCTTACTGGAAGTGCATCTGTCAGCTGTCCTCCATGCATGACTTTGCACTGTAGTCCATCGTATGAGTTTTGGATAATGTTGACAATCTTTTCAGGAACTCCATAGTGTCGAAGAAATTTCCATAATGTTCTCCTGTCCACGCTGTCAAACGCCTTCTCATAGTCAATGAAGTTGATGTATAGTGATGAGTTCCACTCAACTGATTGTTCAACAATGATCCGTAGTGTCGCAATCCGGTCTGTGAACGACTTATCCTTACGGAATCCAGCCTGTTGATCCCTAAGTTCGGCGTCTACTGCGTCTTTCATCCGATTCAGCAGCACTCTGTTGAAAACTTTTCCTGGTACTGATAACAAACTGATGCCTCTGTAGTTCTCGCATTTGCTCAGATCTCCTTTCTTTGGTATCTTGATGAGATATCCTTCTTTCCAATCCGTTGGCACTTGTTCCTCTTCCCAAATCTTTTTGAATAGAAGGTGAAGCATGTTTGCAGTTATTTCAATGTCTGACTTCAGTGTATCTGCTGGTATATTGTCAGGTCCTGCCGCCTTCCCACTTTAGATTTGTCTGATGGCCATCTTGACTTCTTCGATCGTTCGTGGAGTGACATCTATTCGAAGGTCAGTGTGGGCTGCTTCGATATCCGGTGGATTCAATGGGGCTGGTCTATTCAGCAGTTCCTCGAAGTATTCTGCCCATTTTTTCCTCTGTTCTTGAATCTCAGTGATTGTCTTTCCTTCTTTGTCCTTGACTGGTCTCTCTGGTTTGCTATATCTCCTTGCCAATTTCTTCATTGTATCATATAATTGTTTCATATTCCCTTCTCTTGCAGCTTTTTCCGCCGTCGTTGCTAGTTCTCCCATGTATTTCTGCTTGTCGGCTTTAATGCTTTTCTTCACTTCCCTGTTTGCTTCTGCGTAGTCTGCTTGTGCTTTGACTTTCTCTGCTCGTGTTCGGCTGTTGTTAATTGCTAGTTTCTTGTTCTTCCTTTCTTGAATTTTGTCCAGGGTTCCCATAGAGATCCATTCCTTATGATGATGCTTCTTAGGACCAAGAACCTCCTGACACGTTGAAGTTAGTGCTTCTTTTATCCCTTTCAAGTTGTCCTCCAAAGTAGTTTCTTGTTCATTCAGTAGATCCTGTAGAGCTTGGAACCTGTTGTTGAGAGTTATCTTGAATTCATGGAGCTTGTCAGTATCTCGAAGGAAGGCTGTATTGAACCTTTGTGGTCCTGTTTGTCCAGTGTTCAGTCTTTCTTTAGCTTCAGTCTCATCTTGGCCACAACCAGGTGGTGATCTGAAGCTATGTCAGCTCCTCTCCGGGTTCTAACATCTTCCATTGATCTTCGGAATTTTTTGTTGATACAGATGTGATCTATCTGGTTCTCTGTGGTGTGGTCCGGTGAGATCCATGTAGCTGTGTGTATGCGTTTGTGTGGGAATATTGTGCCGCCTATAACCAATTTGTTGAAAGCACATAGGTTTGCAAGTCTCTCCCCATTTTCATTTCTTTCTCCTAGTCCATGTCGTCCGATTATATCCTCATATCCTGTGTTGTCCACTCCAACTTTAGCATTTAGATCTCCCATCAGGATGGTGAGGTCATTTCGTGAGCACTTCGCCATAATTGATTGCAGCCTTTCATAGAACTGATCTTTATCATCGTCGTTGCTATCATTGGTGGGTGCATAACATTGGATAACGTTCATTGTGATCCCTTGCTTCTTTGTTCTGAATGATGCTTTGATTATCCTGGGTCCATGAGACTCCCATCCCACAAGTGCATTTCGTGCTTCTTTGGACAGCATTAGAGCAACTCCCTGAGTGTGTGGAGCATTTTCCCCTTCGTGACCGGAGTACAGCAGCATCTCTCCTGTACCTAGCCTTTGTTGTCCAGTTTGTGTCCAATGGGTTTCTCTGATTCCGAGTACTGCCAAGTTGTATCTCCTCATTTCCATTGCTATTTGACTGGTCTTTCCTGTCTCCCACATTGTCCGGACGTTCCATGTACCTATAAAGATTGTTGCTCTGGTTTTTCAGAAGATGCATCGGTCTCGTGACTTCCGAAAAATTTCGGCTTTCATCATGAGACGTCATAATTATTCCTTCAACTCCCAGGGCAGAGTTTAAATGGTTTGAATTATTTTTTATGGTTAGCGTTTTTTTTAGCGAGTTAGCTTATCTACGGGATGGGGTCGCTAACCCCATGCCCAATCCTCCTCCTTTGTGTGGGCTTGGGACCGGCAGTAACTGTAGAAGAGCTACAGGCGGAGTTTTCTGCTTATCGTGCTTGTGAATTAAGGCTATATCGAGGCAATACGCACAGTATGCACATATGCCAATTAGAGACTGACCAGTTGCAGTCCAAAAACATCGATGAGAAGATTCAAACAAACAATACTAAATGAATTTAAGTGTTTACTGTTTGGTTCTCAGATTTTACTAAGATGTTTTGTAATTGTATGTTGAAATGTATTCGATTGTCCTCACTGGTGTTTGTATTCACTACATTGCTTGCAATTTTATTGCTGCTGGAGATGTTTTGTGTTTTTCGGCAACAAACGGAAGCTTAGCAAGATGCAGAAGTTTTATCAAGCATTATCCATCTTAATATCATTTCTCTATTTAAATCGTGGATGCGCAATACTGAAGAGTCCCACAATATGACGAAGCGGCCGTTCAGTGCTTCCAGATTTTCCACGGTGGTCTAGTTTCAATTGACTAATGATTTCAACTATATATAAAAATTACTAAGAATCTCCACAAAACCTCCTTATATTTATGTGTTTATGTATATGTGAGTCTGTATTTGTTGTCGTCACAGTTTCTGTTCTTATGTGTTTATGTTTTTTATGTTGGTTTGTTCTCTGAGCTGGATGGTTTGGTCGTGGAGCTTTCATCGTCCTTCTGAACGACATCATCAGCACAAACTTCGGGTAGAAGTGAAGTGTTTGAATTTCTCCACATGTGATTCACAGCTTGTCCTCTGCACCTCGATGTTGATTGGTTCTTATTGACCTTAAATCTGTCATTGTTTATTTCTTTGTTTTGATTGTCTCTCCTATTGTTTTGATTTTTGTTCCTATGTTCCTGCATAATTTTCTTGATTGGTTGATAGATTGGATTGATTTCAATATGTTTGTTTATTGCAGATTGACCTGAGTGCCAAGCTTCTAAAAATTCTCTGGTATTTTTGGAATTGCCTCTGTCCAAAATCTGCACATTTTCCCAGTCGAATGTATGTCCGTAGTTGTCCACGTGTATTGATATGAGTGAAGAAATGTCGTGGCGTTTGACTGCTAATTGGTGTTCATGTAGGCGAAGATGCAGGGGGCGTCCGCTTTGTCCAATATAGTGTTTGTTGCAGTTGGTACAATTTATCTTGTAGATGATGTTT